TCTCGCGCCGATGTGCAATGACCTTCCTATCCTTGAAAAAACGCGCGCGGGACGCCAAAAAGAAATCCGCGGCTGAAGTCTGCCGCTTCCACCCAAGTGCTGCTCCTCTAGCCTCACCTCCCAACAAGAACTTCGCAACGGGAATCGCATCCGAAAGGTCCACAATACTTGTATCACTCTCCAAGTCATCCTCTTTGACCCTGTCGTGCAAGAGCTTGGCCCGCTTGTTAGCTTTCGCGTTCCTGGCGTTCATAGCAATTTCCTTGGACGCATCTTCTCCCTGGGCCGTTCTGCAACGGCGTCCTCTGCGACGGGGTCGACATCCCCCAGCCCAACTATCTGCCGACCTGCGTCCGCCAGTGGGCCTGGACCGCCTGGAAGTGGATGTGGAAGTGGTGGTGCTGGCCCTCCATCTCGAAATTGGTCCCCCCAGCTCTGGTAAACCAGCTGGCCCTCGACAGTGCAGAGTTGGATCTCCAATCTCTGGAACTAGAAAATCATCCTCTGGTAGTGGGCCCATGGAATCCAGAAGTTCCGCCATGTCAACAGCGAGGCTGTCATCAGCTGGCTCCGCCCTAGCATTTGCAAGCTGAACAATATGGATAAGCGCATCAAGCGCGAGGAATATGGAAGAACGACACATCTAACATATGGAACCGCAGACGCGAGAATACTGAGCCTAGATGGTTCCGGAAATGCAGGACGAGGCCCCTCGAGGTCCTGCTTCGACCCTTGAGTTGTCCAGAGGTAATGACGCCCTGGCAAGAAACACGTGCCGACGTCAGACTTGGGGCAGGGATGAACATGAGGGCATTGTTACAACGAGGCTCGAGGGCCCTCTCAGAAGAACATTCGAACTATCCAAAATCCAGCCCAAACCAAAGGGACCCCAATAACATAAACAATCCGACGTCGGTGCTGCCAGGCTCATGTAAGTAAGCAACATCAAAACGAATTCAGGATATCGCGGTCTCCCCCCCTCGCTGTCGACGATATATGGGCGTCGTAGGCCAATGGGGGAATAATGTGCGTGCATTTTCAGGAGAGAGGGGTCATGAACAACACAGCTTTCATGTGCAATCAATGGTACAAACCCAAACCCAATGGTACAAGCACTCATCCCACGATGCCTAACACCCCCCCCAGAATCTCGTTCGGGTCTAGCCTCAATCCACCCCTGCGCTTCTGTGGTATGTATGCCTCTCCGCTGTGTTCTTTGCCCCTCCCATCCCTCATCCCCCTTCCCCACTTTCAATCCCTCCTCCTCCTCTTCCTCCCCCCTACGCCGATGCCGTGACATATCGATGCGACGGTTGATTTGATGGCGGATGAGGACGGATAGCGAGCATGAGCAATAGCATGCTCCACAAACGGGGCCAAGTTTTCGTCGAAGGCCCCTGAGTGATTCACAATTTTGGTGTTGATTTCCCCAGCGTTTCGTGAAGCGCCTTCCTCTTGAGGCACCCCCTGGCCCTCCGTATAGACGATCGCGTCCTCTACCCCTTTGCAGCACGCGTCGTCGGAAGTCGTCGACGTCCATCGTCGTCGGCGGCGGGTAGCCCCTGGGGGCCAATTCGAAATCGGAATCGCGCATCGGAATCTCTGCATCGAACCGGTTCGAATTGGCAGCCAAGAAAAAATCAAATCGAGCCGGCGAAGTCGGAATGACCCCCGGCCTTTGATCCGCCACTCCCTTCTGCTTGCGAAGGGGGTGCTCTGCGTGTCGGATGTGTGGAGCATCGTGTAACCGATCCCCATCCCCAGCGGTGTGGCCTGAGCCCCACTGGCCGATTTACCCCCCTAGATAGGGATATACAGTCATCGACCTGACCTAAGGAACGATGAATAAGGTTATCCCAAGGAATAACGCATAAGGAACGATAGATAACACATAACGCATAAGGAACTGTAAATAACGCATGCAAACCTAAGGAACGACCGAGCCCCTTTTGAAAAGTAAGTGTTCCTTATTCAAGCCGCTCACTGTAGGTCGTTACGTTCGGGTTTCGAGGGGTGTATCCCCAACTGGGGTGGTCATTTGGTGGGGATCTCGAAGGGGATGGGGATGGGGATGGGGATCGGTTAAACGATACCGATGTGTGAGTGTGTACTTTCTGGACCTTTCCAACGAGTTCCCACAACGGGGACATCGGGAAAAAAATGGGAGGCAGGCGCCTGTCCGCCCAAGATGGCTCCAAGAGGGCCTCCCACATAGCCAATTAGCCCCAATATGGCCCTCCAAGGTGCTTCATCGAAGACGGCCAAGGCGGTCAGAAGAGCGCCCAGGCTGCCACCAGCACGGCGGCAGATTGCTGCCAGAAGGCCCGACGCGCCTTGCAGACATCCAAGAAGCCCCCAAGACGCCCGAAGAGGAGGAGGAGGAGGAGGAGGAGGAGGAGGAGGACCTCCAGGAAGCCAAAACCGTTGATTTTCCACGGGCCTCCAAGATGGCCCGCAGCCGGCCCCGGCAGCCTTCCAAGAGGGCCCCAGCAGGGACCACGTCCAAAGACAGCCTCCAAGAGGGCCCCACGTGCCTCCAGGGCAATCAGAAATGACGCGCGCAGAGCGAACCCCAAGAGGCCCCCACCAGGCCCCAGGAGGCCCTCGGGAGGCCCCTCGGAGGGCCCCCCAGAAGTCCGCTCAGAGTCCCCGAGAGGGCCCCCAGAGGCCTCGTTTTCCTGCCCCTTCTCCTCCCTCTCCTCCCCTCTCTCCCTCCCCCGAGCGTTCCCCCGAGGATTTCCCCCAACGGCCGGGGAGCACACAGTCCAATAGCTTGGCCAGACGTCGACACAACCTTCGGCCACATCGGCGTTTCCGGAAAGGCAGGAGGGGCGGCGGCGGTGACTCGACGTGCTGTTCGGTCGGCATGCCCCACGACAGGGTGATTTTGGACGGAAAACAAAAAATACTTAAAGCAATATCCAAAACATACTCAAAAATAGTCAAATAATCGTCCCCTATACCATTTCTACTACTTTCGAAAATTCCTCCCGTAGAGGGACATGCCCGACTTGAACGTATGGTGTCTTCGATCCACCGCCCCAGATTTATGTTGTTCCCATCGTACTTAAGGACCACATCCCAGAAATAATTTCGAGCACCCAGGCAAATGTCGAAAGTGTGCCGAAACAGCGTCGGCCGAGTGTCTCCCCAGGCCCGACGCGTGGAAACCCTCGAGTTTGGGCATTTTTTGTTCTCTGGTGCTCGAAAGCCTTTTCTGGTGATCAAGGCTCAAGTGGGCTGGAGCATCATAGCCCCAAATATTGCATCAACTCTTGGCACTTACAGTGGGGGCTCGGCCAGAAGAAACCTCCGCAAGAAACCCAACCCTGAAATCCGCGATTCGTTCAGTGAAAACCCAATTGGTCGATCGAAAATCGTCACGATCTTACTGGGGGCACATGGAACTCCAAGAAACCCAGGGCACCCTGGCAAAATCCAACTGGTTTCTTGGCACACGCCCCCACTGTAGAGTGGCTCCCAATGGCCTTCGCTCCGGCCAGTCCCGCCGGCCACCCGGCAACGAGCGCAGAGGTGCACCGCGCCTGGTCTTCCGGCGGCAGAGGTGGCCGCTGCGTAACCACAGCACGGCACGGCCGCCACGGCCCTCAAGATTTGGAGGTCGCTTGGGGGGCAGCGTTGTTTCCAGGGCCAGATCCCAATACGCTCAGCCGGCGCGCTTGATCCGTCAATACTTACGACACCCAGTCGCGACAAGTTCGGACCTCAGGTTTGCTCTTACCGACGATTGGGCTGCTTAGGTTTGCTCTTACCATACGAGCATTACCTCCTCCTCCGTCGCCCCAGAAACGCAGATCGCGTTCGCTGCCCCTCAGCGAGCTGAAACTCAAGATGGCCTTACTAGCAAGTCGGGCCTGTCCCTCTACAGGGGGATTTTGGGCGGGAGTAAAAAATAGTCAAGAAATACTCAAAAATGGTCAAATGGAAAAACTCGTCCCCGTCCTATGTTTTGACTATTTTTGAATTTGCCCCTTGTGGAGGGACAGGCCCGACTTAACCCCAACATTACGTCGGGCCTGCCCCTTTACAGGGGGAATGTTCAAAAATAGTTTAAAAAATAATGAGGTGACGATTTGTTTTGCATTTTTTGGCTATTGTGGGGTATTTTTGGGGGGTTTTGGTTTGACGTCCAAAACCCCCTTGTAGGAGGACTTGCCCGACCTAACCCTGATAAGACGTCTCAATAGAACCCGTCCAAGACGGCCCCAATGTGCCTCCAAGGCAGCCGAAGATGCCACCGAAGTTTCCGAATAACTACCCGCGAGGCCCTCAAGACGCCCCAAGAGGGCTCCAGGGGGACTTCAGGAGGCCCCAGTAAGCCCAAATCGGAGTTTGTTCCATTGGAGTTCGGCGACCATCGCATCTTCATGCTTTTCCAAGCTTCCGAGAATCCAAGACGCGCTTTTTTGGTCTGCGGGTCGAGAGCGAGCCTCTTCCGGTTAAGAGCTAGGCGGGCCGCGCAAAGCACTAATTGGGGAGACAGGGGAGCGGCCAAGAGGGGGGTGTCCAAGAGGGGGGGGTGCAAATCCTGACCGGCGGTATGTGCGCGGCCCAGCGGGGGGGCCAGGGAACGTAATGAAGTGAGAAGAGGCGCCATGAGATCTGGGGAGTAGCGTGGCCCCCGCCATGATTATCCCCCCCCCCCCTAGCCATCACCCCCCGCTTTGCCGCCCGTCGCCCTGTCGCCCGCTCCGCCGAGGTCCTGCGTGGAAGCCGGCTCGACCTCTGCCTCCGTGGGGCCGCGGCGGAGGAGGAGGAGGCGGAGGAGGCGGAGGAGAAGGAGGGAGGAGGAGGCGGAGGAGGCGGAGGAAGGAGGGAGGAGGAGGAGGAGAGGAGGGGAGGAGGAGGAGGAGGAGGAGGAGGGGGAGGAGGAGGAGGAGGAGGGAGGAGGAAGGAGGAGGAGGCGGAGGAGGAGGAGGAGGCGGCGGAGGAGGCGGAGGAGGAGGAGGAGGAGGAGGGAGGAGGCGGAGGCCGAGGTCCTGCGTGGAAGCCGGGTCGACCGCTGCCTCCGTGGGGCCGCGGAGGCCGCCGGACTCGGCCCCGTGGGCCGCGGCCTTCCGCGCCGGGGAGCGGCCGCAGGAAGGGAGCGACGGGGGCGGGGGGGGCGGGGGGAGGTGTGCGGTCGGGCCCGTCCCTCCTCTCCTCCTCCTCCTCCTTCCCTCCTCCCTCTCCTCCTCCCTCCTCCCTCCTCCCTCCTCTCCTCCCCCCAGGGGGGAGGGGGGGTTTGGGGTGAATTGTTTTACGGTGCACCGCTGACTAGCAGGCTCCAAGGGCAACGGGTTGCCTGGGACTGGAGGAGCCAGGGCAGGGGTTCTGGGTGAAAAGAAGTGAAGCATGCACAGAACGTGCGCCAAGCGTGCGCAGAGACAGTCCCCAGATCGTCCCCAGACTGCTTTTTCAACTACTCCTGAGGGTTCCTCCGGTACTTGATTAGTGCATTTAATTTGTTTTAGGGTTTAAACAAATGGTCGCAGCCACGCAGAGGGCGTGCGTAGCGACGCCCCAAATGCTCGGTCTCCAGTACTTCTACTACGTGGCGGCGCCCCCGCAGGCACGCAGAGGGCACGCGTAGCGACGGGGGCGTCGCCACGCAGAGCTCCTAAAGACCAAACATTTTGAAAACCAATTGCTTCCACTACTAAAGTAGAGGGGCAGGCCCGACTCGAGGGAGATGGGCCGCAAGGGGGTGGATGGGAGAGAGGCGCCGGGAGGCTCCAGGTCACCCGACTTCGCGCACCGCGCCCGGCGGTGCGCGGCGCGCTCATCTTCGTGCCCCTGGGAACACCCACACTCGCACACACACGAACACACACACACACACACGCACGCACGCACACACGCACACACACGTACACACGCGCGCACACACACGCACACACACACACACGCACACACACACACACGCACCCACGCACGCACGCACGCACACGCACACACACACACACACACCCAAACACGCACACACACACACACACCCAAACACGCACACACACACACACACCCAAACACGCACACACACACACACACACACACACACACCCAAACACGCACACACACACACGCACGCACGCACGCACGCACGCACACACACACACACACCACACACACACACACACACGCACACACACCACGCACACGCACACACACACACACACACGCACGCACGCACACACACACACACACACACGCGCACACGCACACACACACACACGCACACACACACACACACACGCACGCACGCACGCACGCACACGCACACACACAAAAGCACGCGCGCACACACACACAAACACGCACAAACACAAAAACACGCGCACACACACAAACACGCACAAACACACACACACACAAACACGCACACACACACACGCACGCACGCACACACACACACACATATACACACCACACACACACGCACACACACACACACTGACACACACACACAGACATATTCACACACACACTCTCACACACACACACACACACACGCACACACACACACACACGCACGCACACACGCACACACATACACACACATACACACACGCACGCACACGCACACACACACAGACTACCTGTCAGACCACCCCAACACAACTCGAAGACCCGAATTTGACTCGAATTTCGGGAAGGGGGGGGTACGGGTTCCGTTTGTTCTTCCAGTGTTCCCCGACCCCCCCCCCACTGGAAGTGGAGGGCAACTTGAAGCCTTCGGGTTGGGTTGGGGTGGTTTGGTGGGTGGTGACACCACACTGAAGAGGCCCTGGGACACACAAATAAATAGACATGAATAACTAACAGGATTCCCCATATTCTCCCACACTTTCTTGGTTTCTGTCTTCCACCCCCCCAATGCCCATACTTTCCCATCTTTGCTGGGAAATCGACGATGACTTGTGTCTGTGTGTATTCTTCCCTGCTGACACACTCGGGAGCGGCCAAGAGGGGGGCGTCCAAGAGGGGGGGGGGTGCAAATCATGGCCCGAGGCATGTGCGCGGCCCAGCGGGGGGGCCAGGGAACGTAGTGAAACAAGAAGCGGCGCCATGAAATCTGGGGAAATAGCATGGCCCACGCCATGATATCCACCCCCCCCTAGTCACCACCCCCCTCTTTGCCGCCCGTCGCCCTTTCGCCCGCTCCGCCGAGGTCCTGCGTGGAAGCCGGGTCGACCTCTGCCTCCATGGGGCCGCGGAGGAGGAGGAGGAGGCGGAGAAGGCGGGGGAGGCGGAGGAGGAGGAGGAGAAGGAGGGAGGAGGAGGATGAGGAGGAGGAGGAGGAGGAGGAGGAGGAGGAGGAGGAGGAGGAGGAGGAGGAGGAGGGGAGGAGGCCGCCCCGACACACACACACACACACACACACAACACACACACACACACACACACACACACACACACACACACACACACACACACACGCACACGCACACGCACACGCACACGCACACGCACACGCACACGCACACGCACACACGCACACACACAGCGGCGGCTGGATCCGCGCGCGGCGCCTGTGGAGGCCCGGCGCCCGCTGCCCGTGCGGAGGGGAAACGGGGCCGGAGAGCGCCGGAAGGCCGCGTGGCCGCATGGGGGCCCGGCTCTCGCCTGGGCCGGCCCCGTCGTGTGGAGGAGGAGGAGGAGGGAGGAGGAGGAGGAGGAGGGGGAGGAGGAGGGGGAGGAGGAGGAGGAGGAGGAGGAGGAGGAGGAGGAGGAGGAGGAGGAGGAGGAGGAGCGCGGCTTTGCTGTCCATGGCGTAGCTTTGCTGTCCATGGCGTACCTTTTCCTGCACATCCACTTCGGCACCGCCTGCTCCCCGGGCCCCGCCCGCTCCGGCCGCCTGAGGCCCCGCCTTCCTGTGCCCCGTCTCCCTAATTGAAGCTGTGTGTGTAGCCCGCCTAGCTTTTGGCGGAAAAGGTTCGCTCTCGACCCGCAGATCAAAGAAGTGTGCGCCCAGCTTCCTGGGGCGCGGCGCTAACCTCCGGCCGTGGGCAGGCCTCCCTTTAGCAAACCTCCCCTCAGTGAACGCGGCCTCGGGCCGAAACCTGCGGACCTGGGCCCGCAAGAATGACGGCCGCGACGCCCCCTCGCGGACCGAAAGCGGCCAATTCTTCAATCGACGTGTCAGGGCAAGAGGTCTATCAACCTCCGAACAATTTTTAGGTCGGGCGTGTCCCCTACAGGCCGACCTCCGACGAAGCAGAAAGAACCGTCAAAATTCTACCCCCAGGTGCTCAAAACTGGTCCCAAACTCGCCCCCTGACTCTTTCTGGACTCTTTCTGGATATCCCTCCTGTACTGGGCATTTTCTTAGGGTGGATGGCGCAGGGTGAAATCCGTATGGGCTTTTTGCCCCTCGAAAATCCATCCGTCCTGTGGTTCACCTTCTGCAGATTCAAGCCTCGAAAATCCATCGAAACGGCATTTCAGATTTCACTCTGTGCCCTCCACCCAAAGAAAATGCTCAGCTGTAGAGGGACAGGCCCGACTTGACGCTACGAGGAGGGAGCGGGGGGAGAAAGACGAGGGGGCGGGAAGGGAAGGCCAGCCTGAAGTCGGGCCTGTCCCCCTACAAGGGGAGCTTCGACGAAGAATAAAAGATACCCCGCAATACCCCCCAAAAGGTCAACAGATACTCAAATGATAGTCCCCTGGCGACTTTTTGACTATTTTTTGGGGTATTTTTTATTAAATTTTCGTCGAAAATCCCCCATGTACGGAGACCGGCCCGACTTCAGGCCAGAGGGACCAGGAGCAAGGATCAGGGGGACGTAAGACCCGGGTACAGGGGACTCGGAAATCCCCGACGAGGTCGTCAAAAAAATGACGAGGCCGAGCCTGCATTTTGACGAGGCCTCCCGCTGCAGACATCCCACGAAACTCCTCCTCGTCAAAATCCGAGGCGCGCTCGTCAAAAAACGATGGCGAACCCGAGTCCTGGCAAACCCGGATCTTACGCTCCCCCGAAAGGAGCGCAGAGGGAGAACCCGCCGGCCCGCATCGGGGGCGCAAGGCTGCGACGCGTCCCTGCGGGACTGCTGTCCTGGCTCTCCTGGCTGCCTTCTGCTGCTTGTCTCTTGCCTCTCTTGCCCTGCCTAGAAGTCAAAAAAAACATAATAACCACCCCGACACGCGACGTCGTTTACGAAACGGGCCCAAAGAAGGAATCAAACAGGGCAGGGCTGTTTCGTGAACGCCCGGGGCCGCTTAGTAAACGCCATTTGTCCGGTCCCGGTGGCTTTTCCTCCCCTGACCGTCTTCCCGCCACTGTTTCATAGGCCTCCGGCTTCAAAAGCACCTGGAGTGTGCGAGTGTGTGCGCTTCGACGCTGCTGACCGAAAAATACTCAGAGGACCGGGGCCGACACGAGTACCCCCCCGGTCCAGCAAGCTCAGTTGCACGCCTCGGGTTCGCCCCCGCCCCAGATCGGCCCGATAGAGGGCTCACAGGAGACCCGAGCAGAGGAGGGCGGCCCAGAGATGCCAGCCCCAGATCATGTCGGAGCCCATCCTATCCTCCGAGGCCTGGAAGTCTGGCAACTACGGCGACGAAGGATGCCTGGCTGCTGGCCGTACCGGAGGCTCCACAGGCTCGTGGTCCCCAGACCGCCGCGCTTTATCTTCTTGCTTGGTGACTCCAATTTCAGATCGATGACCCAAGAAGACCCCAAGATGCTCCCGAGAGGCTCCCACGACAGACCTCAGAGGCTCAACATAGCCCCAAGTAAAAACTCCATATGTCGCACAGGCCGCCCAAGAGGCCAAGTATGGTCCCAAGCTGTAACAAGATAGTCACAGGATGGCCTAGCCTGGAGTGCTGGCGGCGGATGGCGCGGCCCTGCAGAAAATAATGATACTAATATTAATAATCACAATACGAGAAGTCTTGACTCGATGTCCGTCCAAGACCTCGAATGAAAGTCGTCACTGCTCCGTTATAGAATCCTCTTGCTCCTCATTTCCTCATGTGTGGCAAGCCTGACGAGAGCATGGCAATCGGCAATTCGTCACACACGCGTTGCCGAGCACTCTCTCCGCGAGGGGTCTCCTGATATGCAGAAGCGTACGTCTTCGTTTCACTGTTTCTGTTTCCATATTCCGTCCAATCGCCTGGCTGGACACTTGCAGTCGCCCGGCCAGACTTGATTACCTGCTTGCCCCGAGCCAGCCAGCATGCTCCGACGTGGGGACAGCAGAGGGGATTATCCGCCGACCTCCACGCGTAGGCGGTGAAACGGCGTGTGAGACATTTGGCTGTCCCCAACCCCCTTTTCCCCTCCCCTGGGGTCCAAAATACAGTTTGAAGGATGTGGGTGGAGGGGAGGGGGGGCACGAGCTAGCCAACGCACCCCGTGGAGCCTCTGGAGCTAAGAGGGTCCAGGCAGAGCGCCAAGACAGTCAAAGAGAGCGCCGAGACGGCCCGGAGTAGCCCCACGACAATCCAAGTTGGCTTCAACACAATCAACAAGGCCCCCAAGAAGGCCCAAAAGTGTTCCGAGAGGACCACCGAGAAGGCCCCACGAGGCAACAGTCGTCACACTCCCCCAGGAGAACGTACATGTTTAGCACACTCGCCGCTTTCGTCTTGACAGCTTTGACTGCCCAAGGGGCCCCAAAGATGGTCAAAAGACGGCCGATGAGGTCAAAGAGGGCCCGAACAGAGCCCAAGAGGGGGAGGACTAACCGATATTTCGAGCCTTTCCACCCAAGATGGCCCCAATAGTCCCCCAGAGGCCCCCGAGACGACCTCCAAAGGTCCCAATAGGCCTCGAAGACGCCCCCAAGAAGCCCCAAAGAGGCCCCCAAGAGGCCTCCCAAAGCCACCCATATGCACCCAAGAACCCTCCGAATCAGACTCATCCAAGAGGCTCCTGACACACAGCCTAGGCACGGTGGCGGTATGGGCTGAAGGCAACTGGATGAGTTCAACGATCGTCGCAAGCTCTGACTCCTTCTGGGGGTCGGCGGAATGGGGTAAGCCACTTGAATCAAGAGCTCCTTGCTCAGACCCAAAGATCGGCATGGCATCGATTACTACGCAGGGCGAACAGGAGGAAGAACAGGAGGAACAGGCGGACGAGGAGCAGGAGTGGTGCAAACAGGTAGAGCAGGATGCACGACGATGACCCCCACGGCCCCAGAGCTGGCGACGGCTTTTCGACGGCACCGTGGAATGGAAGTGGCCCCCAGATGCTGAACTCGAGGTACGGGGGCCACATGCGAACCCCACCCCTACCCCCCCCCCCGATTTCCTGGGGGGGGGGGGGGGGGGGGAGATCGGGGTTCACGTAGTTCGGGAGCCCCCGAGCGAAGCGAACCTTATCCTCCCCCCCCAGAGAAACAGAGAAATCGTGGGGGGCAGGGGCTTCGCGTGTGGCCCCCTGGAGGAGCACGCCTGGACTGAGAAAGCACCCCCCCGACCCTGAGATCCGACGTAGCGAAAAAACTGCAACCTCGCGAAAATCCGAGCCCGGAGCCCTGGACCCCATCGTTCTGCGTCGTGTTTCGAGCCGGCTCGATCCGTGAGGACCCAGGGACCCGAAAAAAGGCGAAAAGGGATGGAGTCGCCTCCTCCTCCTCCTCCTCCTCCTCCTCCTCTCCCTCCTCCTTCCCCCTCCTCCTCCTCCCCTCCCCCTCCTCCTCCTCCCTCCTCTCCCCTCCTCCTCCTCCTCTCCACTCTCCTCCTCGCCTCCTCTCACTCGTCCTCCTCCTCCTCCTCCTCCTCCTCCTCCTGGGATGTCTGCGGAGGGGGGGGGCTCCTCGTCGGGCCTCCCTGGCTCGATGGCGGACTCGAACTCCTCGCGCTCCTTCTCCGCGGCCTGCCTCGCGGCCTCCTGAGGAGGAGGAGGAGGAGGAGGAGGAGGAGGAGGACGAGGAGGAGGAGGAGGAGGACGAGGAGGAGGGGAGGGAAAGGGAGGAGGAGGAGGAGGAGGAGGAGGAGGAGGAGGAGGAGGAGGAGGAGGAGGAGGAGGAGGAGGAGGAGGAGGAGGAGGAGAGAGGAGGCGGGAGACTTGGGGGCGGGTTGCCGGCAGACAGGAGGCCTCGTCTGAGCGCGGCGCGGAAGGGCGACGACGACGACGACGACGCCGACGCCGACGACGACGACGACGACGGCGGACGATGTTTCCAAGAGAAGGGTCCTCCTCCGCCTCCTCCTTTTTGCGTTGAGCGGGCTCCAAGATCCGAGCTGGAAGCGTTCCCGTGAGAAAGAAAGGTGGCGGCGTATCTGCAGAGGTGCCAGTTTGCGACAACAAATGGTTGCGAAGACCTCAGACCCCAATGCGCAGAGGTCAGAAGGGATGCAACTGGGCGGCGGAAAATTGCAGCCCCAGTGCAACGAGAATACGCACTGTTGTCCGTGAGGGGGGTGGAGGTGATGACGATCGCAGGATCATGCAACCTACCTCAGATACAACATGTAGGAACACGCCAAGGATTAACGAACTACTCGGCGAAATAGGCTGCAGGCGGCAACGATGCGACATTTGGGCCGTGGTATCGGGCGTCAACTGTCTCACCTGGGGAGTTCACCCTTGAAACTCGACGGGCAATGGCTCCAAGTACGCAAGGTGGTTAAATGGCAAGTGATCTGAAATATTCCACTTCCTCCCATCCCATGCTGTCATCTCCCCCCCCGCACCACACCACCTCATCCCCAATGGCTGTTTTTGTTGACGGAGGCTGAGGAGGAGGATGAGGAGGAGGAGGATGAGGAGGAGGAGGAGGAGAAGGAGGCGGGGGGGGAGGAGGAGGAGGAGGAAGAGGAGGAGGAGGAGGAGGAGGCGGAGGAGGAGGAGGAGGCTGGTTCAGACTGTGCTGGCTGGCCTTGCTGCCTGGCAACCTAATAGCGAGTAGAGGTGCCGAGCGCTGTACTGCCAGGGCAATGGAATGAGCGTTGCGACGCAGATCGGTCCGACCTCATCCACCACACATCAGACCTCCTCCACCCACCACCTCCTCAAGCACGTGGATTGTAGAGCAGCTGACGAGCGGCGGCCAACAAGGCATTTGCCCGTCCGTCGAGGGTCAAAACGGCCACAAGGTGCCAGTGGAGCTTCACCGCCCCCGCCAACCCGTATTCGAGAACAGTTTACGCGCGAGGGAATAGTAACTGGGGCTGTGCATGGCTGGGCTTCGGTGCGTTATGGTCAGCGTGTCAGATCCGTGCGCGGGTGGAACTTGTGAGCACAGCATAATCCTCCTCCTCCTCCTCCTCTTCCTCCTCCTCCTCCTCCTCCTCCTCCCTACTCCTCCCTCCCTCCTCCGCCTCCTCACGGAGCACACCTCGTGTAGTTTCAAATGCTGGTCCACTATTTTCGCATGAGGCGCTAAGGCCTGCTTTGGATGAATCCTTCCTTCTCCAAACATGCAGATGTATAGATTTGTGCATTAGCTGACGTGTGCAACGTTAGCCAGCGTGGCCCACGCTGTAAGCGCTTGAGCTGCAGATGTGCCAGCTGAGTGGTGCAGCCATGCGGTGCAAGCCATGCGGTGCAAGCTGTGTGGTGCAAGCTGTGTGGTGCAAGCTGTGTGGTGCAAGCTGTGTGGTGCAATCTGCGTGGTTCGGGTCGGGCGAAAGGGGGGGATAGCAAAGGGGGGGTTGAGAATCAGCTCGCGTAGCTGACTTTCCCGGCGCCTTCCGGCGCCAGAGGCGGCCATGCATCGAGGAATGGGCCCCCTCGGTGAGGCCGAAACCAGCTGCACGCAGCAAATTTCGTAGCCCCCCCTTTCCCAATCCCCCCCCCTTTCGTCCAGCAAACAACCAGCCTCGAACGTATCCCCATCCCTAAGATGGGCGAGCAAAACGCGAGGACAACCTTAGGGATAGGCCCTCAAAAACTGAGGGAACCATTAAGATCGGCATCGAGGTGAGGCGATGTCAAACATAGGGATAGGGATATGTTCCAGGCTGGTAAGCAAAAGCCGTGCGGCGCAGGCCGCGCGGTGCAGAAGCTGCGCGCGTGCGGCCCACGCGGTGCCAGGCCGTGAGGGGCGCAGGCTGGCTGGTGCGGGCTGTGCGGCGACGCGGCGGGCGGGAATGGGGCCGCGGGGCCCGCACATGGGCCCGGCCCCATATCTATATACATATACATATACATACAGGGCAGTGTTTAGTTAGTCCATGGGATTTTTTAATATAGGATACATGGTTCATGTGTGAGGAAGTTTCTGCATGATCTCATCGTTGATAGTAGTACTAAGTCCCTGCATGTTTGATACATGATCCGCACGCGGAGCATGTATCAAAAACGGCACTGTATACATATATATACATCGATACAATATGTAGGAATTTCTATGTGCAAACACTGCTTGGGGAATATCGTTATCAGAACAGAACTTCGGGCGAGCGCACAGCACCAGAGCGCATGCCACCATGCTTCGGAGCGTTAGACCCCCTCGTGTCCGCGGCGCCTCGCGGCGGGATTTCTGATGGGGCCTAGGTCGTCCCAAAGTGGGGTCCCAAGGCTCACATTGCAGCCACATGGCTCCCTGCTGTCGAACCCACGTCCAGGGCGATGCAATGATTGAAAACCACGTGGCCGCGGTGTATTATCATTACTAAGCGCTGCTCTCAGCAGGACGGCACTTAGGACTCTCCTGCACGCATGAATCCTACAACCACGCTGCCAACGCTGCAACCACAGCCGCCAGGGTCGCTGGAAGGATACATGAACATCCCCAATCTTGACGACAGATTGCACGTGGCACATGCTTGCGGATTTGGTTGGTGGGAGCGCGCTCTGTTATGCAGGTGGAAAACGGCCCTGGGTGCACGGTGCCCGAGAACTGCCCACGACTCAGCCTGAGAGCCTCAAGACCCCCGAGATGGCCCCGAGAACATCCCCAGCCCATGGCCCCCACAGCACGGCCCCGAGACGGGCCAACGACCTCCAAGAAACCCCGCTGAGGCCAGACAGACTTCTCCAGGAGGCCCCCCCAAAGGACCCGGCAAGCCCGCGAAGAGGACGTGCGGCAGCGCAACTGGCTTCGAGGGAGCTCACGAACCTCTCCAACACACATCACAGCTGTTCAACAGCGCGGACCCCGACCAGGAAGTTCTTCAACGACGGACGTGTAAGCTCAGCGGTGCACGCTTCGGAGTGCAAGCCTCGAGTGTAAGCTATATGGCGCAAGCTGGGTGGCGCAGGCCATGTGGTGCAAGCTGCGCGATGGCGGCCACGTGGCGCAAGCCACGCGGCGCAGGCCGCGTGGTGCACGCTGCGCGGTGCAAGACATGCGGTGCAAACTGTGCGGGGGGAGCTGCGTGGGTCCGCGCGTGGTGCCATCCACGCGCTCGCCATCGCTCGGACGTCCATGCCCTGTGTTTTTTTGTTCGGTTTCGTGCGTGTTTTTTTCGCCAGATGGTCGAGGATGCTCCTCGAAGGTCCTCGCCGAAGGAAAAATGCACACGTCCGAGCGGTGCCAAGCCGGGAGCGGGGCCGCCGAGCTGGCGCACGGGCCCAGCTGCAGGTCCTCGCCAGCGCTCGGACGTCCATGCCCTGTGTTTTTTTCCGGCTCCGTGCGTGGTTTTTTTCTTTTTTCGCCAAACGATCAAGGAGGCTCCTCGAGGGTCCTCGCCGAGAGGAAACATGCACACGTCCGAGCGGTGCCAAGCCGGGAGCGGGGCCGCCGAGCTGGCGCACGGGCCCAGCTGCAGGTCGGGCCTGTCCCCCCACGGACGGATGCTTGGACGAAGGACCAAACATGCTCCAGGACGGGACAGGACAGGAAAAGGCCGCGCCTGGACTGCGCATCGGCAGAACATGTCAACTTACAAAAACCAAGGAAAAAAATATGCGGAGACAATTCCGCGCTGAATGCACCCGCGCCGCAACGCGGCCACTGCGTATTACAGTGGTGGGCGGCGGAAGGACATGCTCCAGGCGGATCCCAAAAGCGCTCGAACAAAATCCACACGTCGTCCCTGGACGATCCCTCGACCATGCCTGAGCATTCCCCCTGCAGAGGGGCAGGCCCGACTTAGGCTCAAGTCGGGCCTGTCCCCCACACAGGGGGATGTTCGACGAAAAATCAAAAGTGCTCCAAAAATACTCAGAACGATGGCTCAACATACTCCAAACATAGCCCCTGGACGATGCTTTCACTACTCTTGGGTATTCCCCCTCTGCAGAGGGACGGGCCCGACCTAAGCTTAGGCCCAGCTCCTCGAGGAGGGGAGCCGCTGACGGCCCGAGTGCGGACGCTGCTCCCGGGGAAGCGGCTCCCGCGCCCCCCCCCCGGCCGGCCGCCGCCGAGGGTAGGGGAACAAAAAGTGGCATAAACATAAAAACTCGGAGGTCCGCGCGGATTTCTCAGATCGACGCTGGACCCCCCTCCCTGGCGCGCGGAGCGCGCCAAGGGCGGCGCCGGAGGCGCCGCCGGGGGGCCCCCGCGCCGATCCGAGAAAATCCGCGCGGACCTCCGAGTTTTTATGTTTATGCCACTTTTTGTCCCCCTAGAGGGTCCTCCTCCGCCTGCCTGGCGCGGAGCTGCTCCAGCTTCTCCTCCTCGCGCCGCGCGGCCTCGGCCTGGGGCTCGGGCTGGCAGGCTTGGGGGGGGGGGGGGGCAGGCGCGGACGCAAGGGCTTCGCGGCCGCGAGCGGGCACGGGAGAGGAGGAGGAGGAGGAGGAGGAGGAGGAGGAGGGAGAGGAGGGGAAGGAGGAGGAGGAGGAGGAGGAGGAGGAGGAGGCGGAGGAGGAAGGCGAGAAGACGACCACGAGACCAATAAGGCCGGTCTCGGCCAGGAGATGGAGAGCACATGGCGGAAGGCACGTGTGCAGGTACGGGCCCGAGTGTTTTGAAGTAGAAGAGTGCCGGGCGACGCTGCTTTGCAGCCGGACCCAGGCCAGAAGAGCATCCCTCAAGAACACGAGACCCTCCACCAGCAGAAACAAAGAGAACATCCGAGGTATTCTCCCCCCAGATGCACCATTCACTCCGGACGAAAATCACGAGGGTACCCTCCCCGAACTGACCTCGATCTTATACTTCGGTCCGACTGTATGTAGGTATAGGTCCGGACGGTTTGAAGTAAAGGAATGCTATGATTTATTGTTGTCTGGTTAGCAACGGGTGCAGCACAAAGGACTTAACTACACCGTCTGCAGCCCATGTTTGCTCATCCACCTGAGGGCGCAGCTTGCAGCCACTGCTGCACACGCACGCTCGCGGTAGCCACGACAGCCTGTTCCATGCCGTATGTCCGCATATCTGGTATCAGGGCTGGACCTACACGGTCTGTTTCGTCCTGTTTCGTTTTGTGAGTTCGTTTTGCTATACCTGTTCTTCCTGCACCTCCCTGCCAAAACGAGCAGCAGAGCACGGCCGAAGCCCAGCAACACAGCGTTTGGGTCCAGCCCTGTCTGGCACCATGTCACGCTGGAAAACAAAAAACATCAGGGTACTCCAGATTTCGTAATACAAGGGAGGGGGTCTGGACCCTCCAAGACAAGCCATTTCAGACCTCCCCCGTGGGAGAACCCTCCAAAACATCGTCCCCAGACCCCCCAGGCCCTCCAAGATAGCCTGGAAGAGAACCCCCCCCGAAATGAGACCCCTCTCCCTTTATTACGAAATCCGCCGACCCCTTGTGGGTCTCTAGGCGTGTGAGATAGTTCCCCCCCCCTAACCCCCCCCCTGGGACCCCAAACCGGAGATTTGACCCCCCCCCCCCGGGCCGCAGACGAGCGCACCACGGGGCTCTTTTGGGCCCAAAAGGGGATCAAGACGGGCCAAGAAGGCCCCAAGACTCCTCCAAGACGGCTCACGAGAGCTCCGAGGCGCCAAACGAGCGCTCCCAGACGCCCAAGATGCCCCCAAGACGAGCCTAGAGGCCTCCAAGACGGCCCAAGACGCCTCCAAGAGCAGTCCTCAGAAGGGCCGAAGCGCCGAAAATCGTCAATTCCTATGGGAAAACGTACATTTTGATCACATACTACTTCTCGGCCTTCACGGCGTTGAAGACGGTCCCAGAGCACCCCAAGACCGCCCCGAGAGGCCCCCAAGAGGCGCCCAAGTCGGCCCAGGAGGGCGCCAAGACGGCCCAAGAGGCCCCCAAGACAGCCCAAGAGGGCCCCAAGACGGCCCCAAGAGGTGCCCAAGAGGGGGAGCCCGAACCGACAATCCGAGCCTTCCGCCCCAAGGCGGCCCCAGAAGGCCCCAAGAGGCCCCAAGAGGCCCCCAAGACGCCCACAAGAGGCCCCAAGAGGCCCCCAAGAGGCTCCAAAACGGCCCCCAAGAGGCTTCGAAACTGCCTCCAAGAGTCCCGCGAAAAGCCCCCCAAGAGATCCCAACGATCACCGCACAAGTCTCATATCAACAACCCAGGCACGGTGGCGGGGTTGCGTTTGCGCACAAAAAAATGATTCGCGCTCTCGAGGCCAAGATTGCTCCAAAACGGCCCAGGATGGCTCCAAAACGGCCCAAGATGGCTCCAACACGGCCCAAGAACGTTCGAAGACGGCCCAAAATGGCCTCAAGATGGCCGACAAGGCTTTCACTATCGCCCACGAAGTCTCCAAGAAGACCCCCAGGACATCTGAAAGAGGCGCACATTACGCATTTCATTACATTTCCATTGCGTTGTTGAACATGTTTGCAATTGTTGCCTTTCCCGGCTTCCGTCGGCTCACGTAGCCCAAAGAGCCTCCAAGATCGCCCCACGGCGCCCCAAGAGGGCCTCAAGACGGCCCCAGAGAATCCCAACACGGCCCAGGACGCCTCCCAATTCGGCCTAAGACGACCCCAAGACGGCAAAACCTGTCTCCAAATTGGTCCCAAGCTGGTGCAAGACGGCCCTAACCCAAAACCCATAACCCAGAGCCTTGTTTCTGTGTCCCCTTCCTCCTTCTCCTCCTCCTCCTCCTCCACCTCGGCCGCCAGGTGGGTTCAAAACTGCTTTCCAAAGGTCCCCGAGAGGCGTGCCGCGAGATCCCTATACACATACAACAAGTTTCTAACCAATAGCACATATCCCAGAGTTTCGTCTCTGTGTCCCCGTCCTCCCCCTCTTCTCCTCCTCCTCCACCTCCTCCTCGCCCACTCCTCCTCTTCCTCCCCCGCCTCCTCCTCTTCCTCCCCGATTCTTCTCCCCCCATCCTCCGCCTCACCCCCCATCCCTCTCTCCCCCTCCCCCCTGTCCTCCCCCGCACGCGCGCCCCCGATTGAGCATCATTTGCAGGTCTTGCATATCAGGGTGCCCTTTTTTGCATCGCGTGCGACGTTGGCAGGGTTCCCGGAGAACGCCGACGTCGGTAGTCTTCTCTTGCACGCGCCGCCGCACTGATACGCCTGGCAACTGCGGGCTGTGAACCCGAGGTTCCGGCAAGACCGCCAAGATGAGGGGTCGGCGGATGTGGCGTAAGCCTATAGAATCTGGGGTACCCTCCCCGAGCCGACCTTGATCCCAGACAGTCGGCCCTGATGAGTAGGTCGACCCTGCCAAGTCAAGGGTACACCCTTGTGCCCCGTGTCTCGCGGCTCGTGCCTCCTGCACTCCGAAGGCAGTGTGCCCCTCGGAAAGTCTTTTTTGTCCTCTCGCGTGTCCTCTCCGATCGAGTCCGACTGTATACCTCGGGTCGGGCGAAAGGGGGGGATAGCAGAAAAAGGGGGTTTGAGAATCAGCTCGCGTAGCTGACTTTCCTGGCGCCTCCCGGCGCCGGAGGCGACCGTGCATCGAGGAATGGGCCCCTCGGTGGGGCCGAAACCAGCTGCATGCAGCAAATTTCGCAACCCCCCCTTTCCTTCGGGGATCTTCTGACCCGGGTCAATCTAGACCTGGGTCAACAGGAAACCAAAAACTGCAATGCAGAAAAAAAAAAATGCAACGCAGGTCTTCGCAAACCCGGGTCAGCCAATATGTTCGGCCGCCTCGCGGCCACGAGCGGCTCGCTAACCCTGGTCAGCCAGAGGGGGCCTTCGCAAGATCCTGCAGGATCCGGCGCCCTGGCTGGCCCCTGGCCGACACCAGCTGCATGCAGCACATTTCGTACCCCCCCCTTTCCCAATCCCCCCCTTTCGTCCGGCCCGAATACCTCGGCTCGACCGTCGGCCACCGATGCCGGGCCACCACCACCACCACCACCATACGTTGGAGGGGGAGGGGGTCCTCCTCCTCCTCCTCCTCCTCCTCCTCCTCCTCCTCCTCCTCCTCCTCCTCCTCTTCGTCCTCCTCCTCCTCCTCCTCCTCCCTTTCCTCCTCCTCCTCCTCCTTTCCTCCTCCTCCACCTCCTCCTCCTCCTCCCGTCCTCCTCCTCCTCCTCCTCCTCCTCCTCTCCCCCTCCCCCTCCCCCTCCCCTCCCCCTCCCCCCTCCCCCTCCCCTCCTCCTCCTCCTCCTCCTCCTCCTCCTCTTCGTCCTCCTCCTCCTCCTCCTCCTCCCTTTCCTCCTCCCTCCTCCTCCTCCTCCTCCTCCTCCTCTCCTCCTCCTCCTCCCTTCCTCCTCCTCCTCTCCTTTCCTCCTCCTCTCCTCCCTTTCCTCTCCTCCTCCTCCTCCTCCTCCTCCTCTCCTCCTCCTCCTCCTCCTCTCGCGTGCTCGACCGTCGGCCACCGGTGCCGGGCCTCGATCTGGTCCAGCAGATCGTCCGCCGGGAGGTCCACGGGGATCTGCCCCGCGGGCGGCGCCCCCCCCGGGGGGGCGCGGGGGTGCGGGGGCAGAGAGGGGGGCGGGGAAGGGGAGGGGGCTCCTCCTCCTCCTCCTCCTCCTCCTCCTCCTCCTCCTGCAGATTGTCATACGCTCCTTCGGTCACGCGATCATTTCAAGTGGAGTGAGTGGAAAACTTGTCTGGCCTCACTGGAGGCGCAGTCCGATTTGGCACTCACCACGGGAGTTGGCTTTGTGAACTGTATAGCTAAACGGAGTCAGCATCGAGCTCTCAATAAACCCTTGGCGCAGTTTCGGGAGTGGAGCGAGACAGCCCCAGCTGTCAAAGCTCTGCATCGCAGCATTCGTCAGACGCCGTTTGGGCCCGAAGAGTTCGACCAACGCACCATTGTTCATCCCAGTGAGATCCTCGCGAAGAAGACGGAACAGTGGGAGGTGCTCTGGGGCCCTGAAGGCCAGGACTTAGACAAATTGGATCAGCTTTTTGCAGATAGTCGAGAACGTTTTCAAGTGATCCGCTTACAGCCCTGGAGATCGAGGACATACGGTCAGCTCTGCGACGTATGAAAGCATCCTCAGCCATGGGAGTGGATCGTTTATGTAGTATCGACGTGGACAGATTACCAGATGTGGCGAGAGCTGAGTTCGCTTCTCTGTTAACACTTTGTGAATGGTATCAGGCCTGGCCACACCAAGTTCTGTTAACCATAGGCACGCTGCTCCCAAAAAAAAGCAGCGGCGATCGGGTCATAGGCCTACTCTCCTTTTTCGCTCGTGCTTGGTCTCAGGCGCGAGAGGATCAAGTGAAGTTGTGGCACGACCAATGTGAAGCTCATTGGGACGCGGCCATTCGTGGGAATGCAGCTGTGAGGGAAGTTTTCGTCAAAGCCGTCGACGAGGAACTTGCAGCACGTCTGGGCGCAGAGCAAGGACATGGACTTGTTGATGTGGCTTCCTTTTACGATCGTGTAGGATGGTTCGCCATCGGCAGTGTAGCATTGCGATTAGACTTTCCACCAGAAGTTTTGGGTTTAGAACTCCAGCAATGCATGGCCGCTCGGTGTGTTCGGCAAGATGGCGCCTACGGGCCACCTTTCTGCCCCACCAGATCCATTGTTCAGGGTCTGAGGGCAGGAACCAGGTTTGGGAAATGTGCTACACATTTTATCATGTATAAAATCACCACGGCACATGTTAATATGAGTAATCGTTTGTGGGTGGACGATCTCAGCCAATCATGTAAAGGATCACGCATCGGCATGAGGAAGTAACTTACATCGTGTCTTCTTACCACATGCCGTACCTTCGTCGAAGCTGGACTGAAGATATCACCCAAAAGTGTCGTCGTGTGTAGCAACGTACAGGATGCTCGTACAGTTGTTCGTCGGCTAAAGAGTTTCGGATTCACGACGAAGTGTGCATCGCAGACAGCATATCTTGGAGGGGACGTTTCGGGTGGGCGACGGCACGGCAAGGCTACACGCACTAGTCGGGCACAGAAACACCGTCAGATGTCTCGTAAGATCAAGGCGCGTGCGAGGACCATTCGGAAGTACAACTTGACATCGCGCCTCGAGTTGCAGGGAGCACAGCCAGCTGGACTTTATGCTCACCAGCTCCATGGAGTTTGGGGTGGGCAAATGGTTCACGTTCGCCGCCAGCTGGCAAATGTATGTGCTCCACGCCTCACAGGACGATGCTTGACCACGGTCTTGGATTTGTGTGCAGCCAATCGGGATCCCGCTTACAAACTCCCAGTCAGTACCCTTCGTATGCGGATAGCGTGTTGGGCTTCGGAGGTCAGTATTCGGGCAGGGGTGCAGAGAACGTAGTCTTCCATGGTGCAAGAGTTTCGGGACATGCCTGCTGCTCGTCGGTGTCGGCGCATTCGTGGACCACACGGGGCCGTGATCAATTATCTTTTAAACGCAGGTTGGCATCCTGACACCCCCTCGTCTTGGAGCATTCCTGATAATACTAGCAGCTGGGACTCCAAGCTGGAAACGCTCACTGGGCATCTGGCTGTGGACGTCCCCGAGGCCTTTTTTCGCGGAGTTCCAGGACACCATCCAGCAGCAACTCTGGAGGACCGCTTCGGAACACTTTGGAGGCTCTGGAATGCAAGATGGGATCGACAACTATTCGTACCGGAAATTGTTAGGCCAACTCGAGCAAGCACCAGGAGGGCGGAGGTTAGCAGGGCTTCTCTTAGCAGCAGCAGCAGGAGCTTCGTGGCCCCGCCTCCGACGGCAAACCAGGTGTAATCAATCCATTTCTACTGAGTGCCCGCGGTGTCAGAGGTGTCCAGAATCGAATTTCCATCGTATCTGGGGATGTGACGGCAAGCGTGAGCACCCAATCTATGAGATGAGCGATGAGTTCAGTCACCAAGCGTACACATGCGGGGAGACCGAGGAGTGTTTTTGGACACGGGGTTTGATCCCAAGCAGATGGACAGCGACGCCTCCCCCTTGTAGTAATGAGAAATGGACCAGCAAAGATAATGATTGTGTGAACTTTGGATGTGGGGCAGCTGCTAATCCCGTGTTCCTTTTCGGAGATGCCAGCGGAGGTGAGACGCACCACCCTCACCTTCGCAGAGTCGGTCTCGGGCTTGCTGCGTACAATCAGTTAGATTCCTCCATGGACCTCACGGTGGGGATTTGGGGGCCTCTCCCAGGGCCTCGCCTGACAGTCGCTCGAGGGGAATTGTATTCGCTGTGGGTAGCTTTGCGTGAGAGCCAGGGACACATCGTGTATGTGACAGATAATTCGTCAGTTTTCGATGGCTGGCACAGCCAGAGGTGGAAGCAGCCTGTCGGCAGAGACACCTGTGGTGGGGAATCGGGGAACACAAGCGCACCAAGTGTAGTACGTGTTGTACTGTGCTGTTTGTGCACTCGCATCAGAATGCTGAGCAGCTCCAGGCCTCTCGGCACCCCCTCCTCATCCTTGGTAATAGTGCAGCCGACACGTTTGCAGGCCTCGGAGCAGATCAGGCCCGCCTTCCTGAGTCTGTGCGCGCGCGTATTTTGCAGGTTGAGCACAAAGCATTTGTTGTGCGCATGCGCGTTGTACAGAGTACGCTTGAAGCAGTGCAAGCTGAGGAATTGGTTGCCAAACAAGAGGGCTCCAGACGAAAGCGTCGTAGCTCTCAGATTGTGCGTCGTCCCTCAGCCAGTGTTTGCGCTTCGTTTGCTTCTCAGCACTGTCTCAGAGACGACGGCCGTGGCTCTTCCCGATGTTTGGGGTCGACCTCACTCGCGAAGAAAGGCGAGTGGCTGAGCTCACCATGTTTCGACTTAGTTCAAGCAACTAGTGAAATTCGTCAGCCTCCTCCTGGGCGCAGGGTGCATATCTCGGGGGGGGGGTACGCTCACGATTTTGGTCTCTGGTTTTGTTCGTCTTGCGGGGCTTTTGCCGCTGAGCAATTGGTTTCCCTGGGCAAAGTTTGTGACCCGATGCTTGGTTTAACCCGTACTCGGAGAGAGTGCCTTGATCGTATCAACAGGGGTGTCTGGCCGAAGGTCTACAGCAAAACTGAACTGGCCAAGCGAGCCCCCAAGCAACCACGATGAGTTGCTCATAATCGTAACCGAGATGGTCGCCATACCCGTAACTCCGTACCCCCCCCCCATCTTCCTCCCCCTCCTCCTCCTCCGCCTCCTCCTCCTCCTCCTCATCCTCCTCCTAGCGAGGGGGGGAACTCAAACTGGTCGCGTTCGCGTCGCATCTGACGTCCTACCCCTCCCACCCATCCCTTTCCCATTACGGGGATGCGTTCTCTATATATCGGCCCGCGCGTGTCACAGCCTGTCTGGAATTCCAACATGGACTTCGGCGTGGTATGCGCAATCGGGAGTAATGAGCAGCGTGCATTGTTGTAGGTGGCGGATGAGCAGGGGGATGGGCAGGAGGAAAGGGGAGGAGGGATGTGGGCGAGAACGTTCAGCAGCAGCGGGAGCTGGAGTGGAAGGATCGGGAGGAGCAGGGGGGCCAGGGGAAGGCGCGCCCTGGGGCGAGAGGGCCCTTCTGAATCACGGGACCGAAAGGCCGATCCTAAAATGAAGCCCGCGCTGCAGCGGCGACACCATTTGGAGGGCCGACAACGACAGGATTGAACCACCAATCATAGGAACGCCCAGCAATTGAAATCTGGAGCGTGCAACACGCGGAAAGGGGGGCGGGCGACTGCACGGCCATTTTCGGGGGAGAGAGGAACATCGTATTCAGTCGGGAAATATCCTCGATGAGTCCTCCTCCTCCTCCTCCTCCTCCTCCTCCTCCTCCTCCTCCTCCTCCTCCTCCTCCTCCCACCTCCCCTCCCCCTCCCCCTCCCCCTCCCCCTCCCCCTCCCCCTCCCCCTCCCCCCCTCCTCCCTCCTCCTCCTCCTCCTCCTCCTCTTCCTCCTCCTCCTTCCTCCTCCTCCTCCTCCTCCTCCTCCTCCTCCTCCTGCTCCTCCTCCTCCTCCTCCTCTTCCTCCTCACCCTCCTCCTCCTCCAGGTGCCGTTGGGGCTCCTACGCGCGCGGGGGCGCGCGGGGGGGGGGGGGCAGCCATACGGCCCCAGACGCCAGCGGCCCGAGGCGTGCGGGCGCTGGTGCACACTGCTCGCTGGGTGGGGCCCGCTGCCGCCCTGGGCGGCAGACATCAGGACGGGCCCGCGTCTGCAGCGCGAGCCGTCCCCTGCCTGGCACAGACGCGCGCGGCGAGCGCGCTCGCGGGCAAGGAGCCTCCTCCGCCTTGAGGCGGCGAGGAGGACGCTCGCGGGTCATCACGGCGAAGCGGGGGAGCTCGCAGACATGGGTGGCAGCAGCACAGGAGAGCCGCCGACTCCACCATGGCGAGAGGCCACATGGCCATGCGTGGCGACGGGGGCCTGCGGGTTCGCCAACAACTTTGCCAGCAGGCAGACATGTTGGGCGCGCGGCCGAGACCGCAAAGGCAGGCCCACGGCGGACCAGGGTGCGCGTGGCAGTCGCAGCCGCCCACGGTCCAGCAGTG